ACCATGTAGACTAGAATTGAAGCCAGGTAAGGAGTTTCAGGAATGTTTGGGCAATGCTAATATGAAGCAAAACTTTGTAACACATACACTTCTGCTATATGATAGACTTTGGCTAGTCTTTTCTGATGTATTGTGAATACATATATAGTGCACCCTTAGGTGTATGATATTATTTTATTTTCAGAACGTTTTATACTTAACACGTGCTTTGATGCATGCAAACACTTCTCTAGAATACAGTTCACGTACTTATATATGGTCCCATTTCTTAACATTTCATGTTAAATTTACAATGTTGTTTTGGCCAAGGTTTTAAATATCGGATGTCGGGTTCATGTCGGATGACTGAAATCTATGTCGGATAGCGAAAATCGGGGATATATCGGGGGACATTGACTAAATATCGAATTGTCATATCGGATAGTGCGCATATGTATAATATCATGTCCTAAATGTAATCTAAGCATTCATAAATTCAATATAAGCATACTTTATAAATTCTATAGACTTAACATATAAAAAAGTAAATAATATATGGATTTGGGTTCATAAATTCTTTCTATCGGGTTCATAAGAAACCCTTAAACATGAGAACGGGTCAAACGGGTTTGGATATTTATCACTAAACCCAAACCCGATAACGAAAAACAGATCTTAAAAAAAAGTACCATATCGGTCGATTTTTCAAAGCTAAAAAATAGGCTGATATGCCCGATATGACCCTGGTATTTCTGATTTGGCCTTGAAGACTGACATACAAGTTGAAAACGTCCATGTCGTGTCGGTCAAACCCTCAAACCGATATGTCGGTCGACATGTCGGACATGTCGGGCGATATTTAAAACCTTGGGTTTGGCTATAAATTCCTCACTACACTTCGGTTGGAAATTGGAAGCTTAACAACGGGAAGTCAGTCATTGGCGGAGCATTTTTCTTCTATCTTTTAAGTCAATAGGTAATACAACTATGATATTAGGCCCCACAAATTGAAAATTTTATATTAACTCTTTCGTATTACAGGTACATTCTTACATGTTCCTTGCATCCTTATAACATGCACATAATAATATAATATACCACTATGTTGTAACTTCCACCTTTTTTTAACCATTTTACTTTGCTGCCCACCTCCCTTTAACTAGTTCGATCTGTTCAATTTGTCACCTGGTAGAACATAAATCAGTCATAATTTGTGTTGGAAATCAAAAGAAATTCTTATTCTGACCAGCTTGCTGATATTCGAGAACCAACATGCAATCCACTTCAAAAAGAAAATGGGGAACCAAAGACTAGTATACCACCTTATGTGCTTGACATGGCTCTTTAGAAATACCTCTAAAGCTATCAAATGGATTGCTACATTTCTCTGCAGTATGCTGGAGGTTCTATCCATTGGAACATACTACCATAAGCTTCTATTGACATTGAATGCATCCCACAAAGTACCTCTTGCCACCGGGTGGCTGTATTTGCTGTCTTTACCTTCAAAATGGAAAGGAAAATATCCTTGGTAGCACGGACGCAGATACGAGAGATGAAAAATTTGTAAAATGTAGGATACAAGGACACAACTATGTGCACGTGCGCGTAAATATATATAATTTACATTAGATTAAATTTTAAATTAAAATTCCTATAACATAATATTTCTTCCTATTATTCCATAACAGTTAAGAATCAAGTTAAATCAAACTAAGAATAAAGTTTAACAACAGAAGTTTTAGTTTGGATTGCTGCATGGAATAATACAAGGGATATTTTTCAAATATTTAAGTAATGAGTATTGGTTTTTGGGTTAAAAAATTGATTGGTTTTGAACCCAATATTACCAAAGAAACTAGTTTAGGGTATAAGTTATGGGAAAATCGGGTTTTGCTTTGAACGTCCGCGGAGAATCCGTGTTTGGCATGTCTTGGACACAGACACAACATTCAAAACGTTGTGTCCGTAGGAAATATCAGAACATCAGGTTCATTAGACATGATTTAAAGAGATCACCTATTCTCTTAAAGACATACTCACATACTGTGAATTTCAGAAATGCTAGCCATAAGTTTGAGCAAGATGTTGAAAAATTTGGGTTACTTCTGGACTGTAAAGAAGTCAGGTGTCACTGATCAAACTGCACGCCTAGTCCTTGTTGTGTAATGTCACAGTCTTTTGATCCTATATGCTCTTTAGCACTCACTACCACTTTCTCGGATTAATCTTTTACTAGATTAGCATTTCAGGAGATCGCTGTTATAAATAGCGGTAAATAGTATCGCAATAGTGGCGCTAATAGCGTTAGCGGTCCCTTCCTACTACGCTATCGCCCAATAACAGTGACGTATTGTGGAATATGCAATTTTCGCTCACTAAAGCGGCCAATAGCGTGCCATAGCGGTGAGTAGCAGGCGACCGCGGGTAAAATTCGCTTTTTGACCGCTATTTAAAAGTGGTTTGAAGTTTATTTTTTTAAAATTAAACCCGACCCGCAACCACTACATCCCACCGCCTCCCGCGATTTCCAACGTATTCCAGTCGCCTTTCATCGCCTCCGGCACCACCCTCAGCACTTTTCCTCATCTCTCGCCGTGAGCTCCTTCAATTGCAGTCCTCTCACTTTTCAACTCATCTTCTCGAAGACGACAACTCTGACTCCTCCAATCGTCTTCGATATTATGTGATAGTTACATGTATATTTTATGTTTAGGACCTCTTTAAATCATCAAATACGCACTCTTATATTTTCTAGATTTTTCTTTAAATTTTTTATTTTTTTGAATATTTATACATATCTAAATTAGACCGTCGTTTGACTTTGTGCTTTTTACCACTATTTTACCACAATAGCCCCAAATAACCTTAGTGATGCCTTACCGCTATACGATACTATTCGCTATCGATAACCTTGTAGGAGATTAAAAACCGAGGAAAGAGGGAAGAAAGGGAGGGCTACTAAAGGAATGGAAATCAAACAAACCTCAATTGTTTGATTGTGTTACCCCATGGTTAACCCAGCTCTCAAATGACAATAGTATTACAAGCATAGTAGGATGTTTTTATTAAATTAAGAATTATGTTGGAGAGTTATATTGAAGACACCATAAGCAATATTTTTTGTAACACATGATAACATGAGCACTATACGACAATTAGTGAGAACTTATTTATTGTGGTTGGGTTGACTTAGGATACATTAAGCTCCTCTGTAGAATATTAAGAAGTTGAAATGCAGAAATGGTTACTCTATGTTGATTTGAGTCTGTGAAATGTTAATTTTATCACATGTTAATCTTAAAATTTTCAAATTACCAAAAGCCAATCTATGCTACTTATCACAAATAAATTTGTTGTAAAATTATTTTGTTGTTTTACTGGCACTTTTTTTATATGTTACATTATTGTACATCAACTTGTTCTTACTAATATTTGTTTACTTGAATTGTTTCTTATTGCATGCATATGCAGACCAATTTCCTAGTTTCTTTCTAAGATTCATTGTATTTATTTGTTCATGTTGTTGTATCATGTCTGTTATAGTACTTTTTGTTAGTAAGAACCAGCATAGCTATCTTTAGGAGTATTATAGGTGACTCTTGGTCTAGCAATCTGAAATTTACGTCCATTTCAGCCTTGTGATGCACAAGATTGGAGTGCTAGAATGAGTTACCTTTTCGAAAAAAGTTGGAACTTGGATGTGGAGCGAGGAAAGGTTAAATTAATTTGTTGTTATCATTGGTTTAGAATTTTACGATATTTTGAGATTCTTCTGGGCTTAAGAGTTGTGCTGTACAACCATCATCATTTTGATGCAAGAAGACTGTCTGGTTGAATGATTATTGGATGGTCATGATGGTTGGTTTATTTGAAAGAAAAGTTGGGTTATAGATATTTCCCATCAAAGCTCTTCAATCTATGTATTATTCTAATTGTTTGCAAGGATTCAATAATTCTCTTGCATGTGCGTGATTGCATGCGAGGATTTTGGATGTGAGCAAGGTTGTGGAAAGCGGAAAGTTGATCAAAGCAGTGAGGCACTGATAGAGCTTTTTGAGGCTTTAGCGGCGAAAGTGCCAAGTAAAAGCGGATTTGGACTAGAGAAGTAGATGGAGGAACTCCAACTAGAGATGGTCATGGTGAGTTTTGATGAGGAAATCAGAAGAAGGTGAAGTCGTGATGGCGATGGTTGAAGGCGGAACTTGCTGGAGAAGGATTTGGGGGTATATTTGGATGCGAATTTCATGGCGGGAGGTGGTGGAGTTGACCAGAGGCAGTGGACGAGGTGCTTGGAGTGGGAGTTAGTGGTTAGGGTTTGTTTTCGTCTTGAGTCGCATGAGCAAAGAGGAGAGAGAAGTGGAGGGTTTTACTTAAGAAAATGGGCCAGGTTCGGGTCGGGTATAATGTAAACTGATATTTGTTTTTTAAAGTGTCATTAAGCACTTAAAAGTTCTTTTCAATGTTTTTACAAGCTTTCTGTCGCGTTTTCAAGTAGAAAGCATCACGTTCACTTTCATTAGCCGCTTTCAATGAAAGCGGAGTGGCAAGGCACTGCTTCTACTTTGCAAACTGCTTAAGTGCCTGAAAACGAGGCTTTTTTCAACACCGTATGTGAGCTGTAACTTTATTTACCAAAATGAGCTACCAATAGGTGGGAGGCATGATAAACCTTTGATGTGAGAAACAAGATGGTTCTTACCAGTTACCTTTTATCTAGTTCTTGGTAGCTCAGTTAGCAAAATGAGCATGTCCTTATATACCCATTATTTCTTACACACGAACGTGTTTGTGGGTGTGTTGTGGTGCGGGCATGTGCATGTGTTGCTAGTATGTATGGGTGCATGAATGGGTGTGTGAGTGAACATTCTCGTGTGTACATTTATGTGTGCATGTGGGTGCATGACTGGGTGCTCACCCGCACTTTCTTGTATGTGCACGCATGAACACAAGTACGCACGTGTGTATGTGTGATGTGTATGTTTGTGTATTGTGTGTATATATGTGTTTGTACATATGTATGTATACAACGAGAATTTTTGAAATGAGAAGTCTTTGATGAGAATTTGTTGAGGGCTCCATAACAAAGAATCTTATGAATGGTCTGTACTATTCATCTTGTTCAGTATTATCCAAATTAGTATGGCCTGTATAGGGATGAGGAATCAAGTTGCCTAGAAACTTCTTTCATGCTCGAAGTTAGATGTAAAAGTACGCAGTTTCAGTTGTTGAAAAAAGATAGCAGTTGATGTATGGGTAAATTGTTTTGAAACATCTTGATCTAGATTCTTAGGCTATGGGTTGTGTAGATCAAGATGAACAGTATGCATTGTCTAAAGGACGATTCATTATGGAGTTTTCACAAAGCTTATTTCTTGAGAATAATTAGTCCATGTCGGAAGGTATATACCTATACCTCTCAATCTTTCTATGTCTAGATGTATGTGTATTCGTATATCTTACCTGCGTCTATATAGTCTTGGCACGGGTGCATGTGTTTGTTCATATCTCTCATATTTCCTGGGGGTCTTCCATAACCGTAAGGGTGCATGCACAACACTGCTTTCCTGCCATTGTTGTGGAGAAAGATCAGAAAGCTGACATGTCTCTTATACGTTGCAATATATAATATAGTGTGAAATGCTCTCAGCCATGCAGAATGAGAGGATTATACTTGGAGGGGAAGTGAAATGCTCTTAGCCTTGCAGAATGGGAGGATTGTACTTGGTAGAAAAGTTTCTTCAGTCATTGTTTACAGGGATTTAAGCCAATCCAAGTTTTTGGCATTTATTTTAGGTGGTTTTTAGATGAAAAAGAGTCATGAATAATATGCAAATCATCTTTAGCAAGTTTAAGTTCATACATGAAGTGGATGAGAGCCATATCTAATTTGGTCCCTCTGTTCCACCTTTTAATCAATGGATTTGATCTACTTAATGAGTTAGGGACAGGATATTTGTGGGAAAGAAGAGGAAAAGATGAGAGGTTGTATGCTTTTTTCTTCTAGGATCTGTTGTGTCCTTGCATGGAGCCTTTCTCATGGGTCAGTATAATTGTCAAATCTGTGAAGAGTTGTTACTGGTGCTGTGTTACTATAATTTACTTTATCCACAGTTCCAGTAACATGCATCCTTAAAGTGTCAAAAGATTCTCAAGTTGAAAAATAAAAAAAACTTATTACACATTAGAGAAGCATTCGATATGTGCACAAGGAGTGCTATAAGAGGTGTGTTAGACATGGATACTGCTTCATGCTTGAAGTGTTAGTGGTAGACGCATTCAGTGGTCAAGACTCTTGCAGTCATGAGGAAGGTGTGGGATCTATCTAAGCCCTATATGTAACAGGTTATGGCTTACTCTCCTTGATTAGAATAGAAGGAGCGATATGTCCCTTAGCATCAGCAGAAGAAGCAGCAGCAGCTTAAATGAACTTGGAATCTCAGATCTTTCTATTTATATTACATAATAAGTGCCAACACCATGTGTAATCTGAAGCTGCCGAACTTTTGCTTACTGAATTTCAATTCAATATGAAATCCTAAATAGCAATTATGGCGGTGAGATGAAACCTACCATTACAACGAACATGGTCAAGTCGCCTTATTCTGCTACTGAAACCTTTGAGTTTCTATTACATGCAGTCAACCCTAGTGCATTTTGTCATATGAATTCCTTGAGCGACTCAGACATTGTTTTATGATTTTGCTGCTTGTGCAGTGGCAACCCAAAGGATGAGCCAGGTGCTATTGTATGCCGCGTTGCTCAGTCCTTTCTGCGGTTTGGTTCATATCAGATTCATGCTTCTAGGGGAAAAGAAGATCTTGAAATTGTTCGTCTTTTGGCAGACTACGCAATCCGCCATCACTTCTCTCATATTGAAAAAATGGACAAGAGTGAGGACTTGTCTTTTGGAGCTGGTCAGGAGGGTTCTCCGGTTGTTGATTTGACGTCAAACAAGTATGCAGGTAAGTTTTTTTTTTCACACATATTGTTGGTTTCTGTGGTCTTTTAATTTTATAGATAAGTTTACATGATGTTATCGTTTAAGATCCTGAAATAGCTTCATTGTTTTTTCCTTCAATGGATCAGCTTGGTCGGTTGAGGTTGCTGAGCGTACGGCTTCCTTGATTGCCAGCTGGCAGGGGGTTGGTTTCACTCACGGTGTGCTGAACACGGATAACATGAGTATACTGGGTCTAACTATTGATTATGGGCCTTTTGGTTTCTTAGATGCCTTCGATCCTAGCTACACTCCAAATACCACTGACCTTCCAGGAAGAAGATATTGTTTTGCAAACCAGCCAGACATTGGCTTGTGGAATATTGCCCAATTTACTACAACTTTAGAAGCTGCTAACTTGATTAGCAAAGATGAGGCCAATTATGCTATGGAAAGGTACTACCAGTTCTATGGGATCATAATCAAGAAATGTTGTTTATTATTGGTTGTTATTAATGTTTATTTTCCCTCTCTCCTACAGGTACGGGAATAAATTCATGGATGAATATCAGGCCATAATGACCAGAAAACTTGGTCTAGCTAAGTATAATAAGCAGCTGATTAGTAAGCTTCTTAACAACATGGCTGTTGATAAAGTTGACTACACAAATTTCTTCCGTGTGCTCTCAAATATTAAAGCAGATCCTAACATCCCAGAAAATGAGCTCCTTATTCCCCTCAAGTCTGTGTTATTAGACATTGGTCAGGAGCGAAAAGAAGCCTGGATCAGTTGGGTGCAGACCTACATCCAAGAGGTATCTATTGTTTTCAGTGATTTCAAGTAGTATTGTTCTCCCTGAAGACTTGATTCTTCTTCAATTTCAAACTACATGACATGGTCTTGTCTAGCTATCTTTCTTGTTGTCTGTCAAATATGAGTTGCAAGAGTCATCAAAATCTTGTATTCAGGAGAAACAGATAGCTGCTGGTATTTAAATTGAGATTATAGCTCTACATAGCTTTTCATCTCTTGAAAGAGAAGGGAAACTTGAGACTAGAATCTTGTTCTAACAACTTCAAAATAATTTGGAGGCTGCCCCACCTTTCCTCTTACACCGTACTTATTGATTCCCTTAGGTGCCTGTTTCATTGTGGAATTTAATTTACTCCATCTCTCTTCTCCTGCTATTCTCTTTACCCGGTCTACTTCTGCATCCTCCCGTTTTTTTTCCTGCCGTGATCATAATGCTTCCCGGAATAATCATGAGCTCCACCGCAACTTGAAAGTAGATCTCAAGATATTGCAACTATAAAGTGTAATGACAATGAATGAATTTATCATTCAATCTGAAACATGAGACATCATCTGTGAAGAGTCAGCTTGATCTCGGTGACACGATCTTGTTGACATATTAGGTACTTTTATGTTTGCAACCACCAACAATTAGGTGTGCAGTGGCCAGCTTCCTGGCTAACTCCCTCTGACATCCAAATTAGTACTGGATTTGAGTAGGAAGAAACATTAAAAATAAAGATGATTGAGATGTGCCCTATAAAGCATGAGTGAGATATATTTATTTTCAGAATTTGGATACCTAAGTTGGTTAGGGTTGGTTAAGCTACATCATTGCACATGGCTGCACCAACCAATAGGCTCCTTATTCGTCCCAATGTTTTGGTCCAAGACAATTTGGATTGTCTGACTTGGCTGTGATGTTTAATCACACAGAAAAGTTTTTGGTGAGTTCCCACCAATCAAAACATGAACGCTTAATGGTACCCTAAATGTTCACCGAGGCTCACTAGTTTTCATATCCAATTTTGAAGATAATGCCGCCATTACCAGATGGCCTCAACTGTGGCAATGATAGCCAGAAAGACTTTAAAGTTCACTTTAGGCTGTGTTCAAATGGGAAGGACTTACCAGACGCTTTCGTGTAACTGGTACTTGTTACCATTTGGTACTTTTGCAGGTGGGAAATATTTATTAGGAGTTAATTCATCATATTTTGAAAGGTTTTATGTCTGGAGATCTTTAAATCTTTGGAATACAAGCTCTGTTGTTGTTGTAGTTGCACTCTTCCTTGTCTTCTATAAGAAGTTTAACTTTTCCACTCCTTTGTTACTGGAATCATCATTTGGGACTTTTTCCCCCCTCCAGATACAACTGGTATAATATAACTGTACTTGTTAGCTAGTTAATTCACTAATCCATCCTTTGTCAAGGCTCTTACTTTTCTCCCCCATTTTCCTTTATTATCATCTTATAGCTGGTGTCAAATGGCATCGTTGATGAACAAAGGAAGGCAGCCATGAACTCGGTAAACCCAAAGTACATTCTTCGCAATTATTTATGTCAGGGTGCTATAGATGCTGCTGAACAAGGTGACTATGAAGAGGTTCGTAGGGTTCTCAGAGTCATGCAAAATCCATATGATGAACAGAAAGGAATGGAGAAGTATGCTCGCTTGCCACCAGCTTGGGCTTATAGGCCTGGAGTGTGTATGCTTTCTTGCTCGTCGTGAGATAAATAATTACTGGCTGTAGAATTGTGGGTGTAATATGTAGATCATTATTGTATATATTCGACAGTTTTGTATTCACAGTAAAATGAAGGTTGATACAGCACAGCAGGAACTCTTAGGTATGGTGGAAATAGAGAAAGCATTGAGTTTATTTATAGTGCCTTGTATGGTATGACATTTCTGTGGGTGTTCTAGTTTGTTGGAAATACTCAAGAATTTGACGAAGTGTTTATGAGGTCTATTCTTGAGCGAGGGAAGATGTTGTAATGGTGGGAATTTTATGTTGAGCCTATTCTAGTGATGATCAGTCTCCCAATGACTAAGTTCATGATCACCCCCTTCATATGAACACATTCAAACATTTTCTAGTCAATTTCTGGTCATTTTGTTTTGGTAAATTTCAGATCCTTTGCTGACCGGTGGTTTGCCATTTGTGTTTTTTTAAAGAAAAATTACATTGGAAATCTCACTTTTAAGAATCCAATCAAGTAGTACCTTAACCTTTTTAGGCTAAAAAAATAACTTTAACGCAAGAAACTTTTGAAAGGACTTCTTAGCTTGTATTTTTTTTGAGTGTTTCAAAAATGCCCCCCCCCTCCCCCCCCAACCAAACCCCCACCCCAAATTTTTTATCTCATTTATCTCCTCTCCTCTCTTCCTCAACTTCCCTCTTTTTTCCTTTCCTTTTTCTCTTTTTTTCTCTCCCTCCTTTCATATCAACCATGAATCCATGAACCTCTTTCACATCCCTCCTCCCCTTTTATCTTCTTTACTTTTTCATTAGATTCTTCTCTCTTTCTATTTTATTTATTTTCATTCTCATTTCTTTCATGAGCCCATAAATCTTTCTCATATTCAAATATGTCTTTCCTTCTTTCTAGCCTCCTCTCATCCTACCCCGCCGACGTCTTTTTCCCATTGATGTTTCTCTTTCAATGTTATTACCTATCTTCCAACGCCTCCATTACCCCTCCTCCACCTACTTCCTAGCTTTCCTCTTATAGTTTGTCCTGATTTTCTTCTACCATGACCTCATCTCCTCCTTGTTCGTCTCTCCTCCTCTCTTGTCTCTCCTTTTCTTCTTCGGCGTTTGTCCCCACTCTACTTCATTCTCTATTTTTCTTTCACCGCCTCTCCTTCCCCTGGCTCTCTTCCCTTTTCTTGGTTGTCTATATTGGATCCTAAACTTGAAGTCTCTGTCTGTGCACAAATAGAAATTTTGAGAGGACTTTTCACTGGGTTACACTTTATCAAATTGAAGAGTTTATTGTGTTTAATGTCTTGAGTCTAGATTAGTCTTTTGAATAATATAAATATCTATGTAATTGATTAACTTATGAATAAGTACAGATACCTATATAATGTATATTGCTTATGAACGAATATAAAATTTTATAGCAATAGTTTGTAGGAAATAAAGAAGGTAACGTTTTAATCTATACAGGTAACGATCTTATGAATATAGGTAAACCATTTTATGAAAGTTATTGACAAGTTTTGTTAACGAAGTAACTTATTTATGAACAAATATAATAATTTATGAATAAAATAGCATTTGAAAACATAGGCTTAGACAAAAAAAGGTAGCAATTTTGGTCTGATTGACTCCTTTGTTAACTTCCCATATGAATGCTGTGAGAAGATAACATAGCGTGTGGGGGGCACAAGTGTGAACGTGGTTTTGCTTTCCGTGTAGGAGGCTAAATGTGGGGGCCATCATGTTTCTCGCTGCGTTTTTTTGAAAGCCCATCCGATTGATTTGCAGCCAATATATATAGCTGCAAATCATTTTCGATTTCTAGGTTTTAGGAAGGCAAGGAAAAAAGTTTTTTTTTGGGGGAGCAGCGGCTTCGTGCGCAAAAAGAAAGGGAAACGCAGAGGCTTGGGCGGCGTGCAAGTATAGAGGAAAATTGTAGAGCTTCGTGCAGAGGAGAAAAACCCTATTTGGCGACTGTCCTTTTGAAAGAGAGATTGTGAGGAATTTGAGAGATTGTTTGAGGGTTTAATTTGTGTGATTGTAAACCCTATTTGTATTCTCTATCACTCTAATAGTAGATCTCCCCCCTCCTTGCCCCGTGGACGTAAGCAATTTGTCGAACCATGTTAAAATTGATTGTTCATGCCATGATTTGTAATAGAGAGTTTAGGTTTCCTCGACAGGTCAATCCTAGAACTGATGAGAGGAAGAGCTGATATCCTATTTTGTTGAGATATTTTGCTTTCGGTTCTTGTTTCCTTTGTGAAACATGGATTTAATTGAGATCTACTCTCTTTGTCGAGCACCAGAGTTGCTGTCAAAATTTCCGCTGCGCACAACAAGTGGTATCAGAGCTCGGGCTACGCTTGGGCAATTTGGAGGAGTAGATCGCTTTGGAAGCTCGTCTAGGGTTTCAATTAGAGTTAAATGTGTGATCTTTTTGGTAAATGCTCTATCTTTCTCAACTTTAGATCTATTCTTTAGTTTGTTCCGCATTGGTTGTTGGTGTGTTGAGGAATATGGTTGGAAAAGAAGGTGTTGAGGGTGGTGCTTTTGGTGTGAAGACCATTCAAAGTTTGAATATCCACTCTACGAAAATAGATGTGGAGAAATTTAATGGCACGGATAACTTTGGACTTTGGCGATGAGAAGTTTTGGATGCCCTGAACGCGCAAAATTTGGAAGACACTTTGGAGTTGGATGGCAAGCCAGATGACATTGAAGAGAAGGTTTGGAAGAAGATGAATCGGACGGCATGTGGTGTAATTAGGTCTTATTTAACACAGGATCTAAAGTATGATGTGATGAATGAGACTTCTGCAAAGAAAATTTAGGAGATCCTTGAGAGCAAATATTTGACCAAGAGTGTGGAGAACCGCTTGTATTTGAAGAGGAGGTTTTATCGCTTTCAATTGAAGAAGAGAATCTCCATTAGTGATCACATAAACCACTATACAAAGCTTCTTGCGGATTTAACGAATGTGGATGTTGTGATTGAAGATGAGGACAAGGCGTTGCTATTGTTGAGTTCCTTGCCTGATGATGAATACAAGACCTTTGTTCTTACCCTAATTAATGGGAATGCGTCCCTTTCGTATAGTGAGGTCACCGTTGCACTTGTGAACTATCAGCTTCGAAAGAAGGATAAGGAGGTTTTAGTTGATCCGGTAGCGGAGGCATTAGTCGCAAGAGGGAAGAATACAAACCGAAAGAATTGGAAGTAACAGTTTAGAGTAGGGCATTCTACAGTTAGAAAAGATCAATGTGCTTGGTGCAAGGAGACTGGTCATTGGAAGAAAGATTGTCCAAAGCTCGACGAATGGATGAAGAATAAGCAAAAGGGAAAAGGGAAGCAACCATCATCAGAAGCAAACATCGTTATATCGGATGGTAATATTTCTGATACTTCTATTTATTCGCTTTCTATCAGTCCTACAGGTAGCTATTCGGAGGAATCTGAGTGGATATTGGATAGTGGTGCAACCTATCATGTGTGTCCTAGAAGGGAATGGTTCTCCAGTTTTAAGAATCTGGATAGTGGTGTGGTGTTCATGGGAGACAACCGTGCATGTCAGATCCTTGGGATAGGAGGAATTCACATCAAGATGTTTGATGAGATTGTTAGAGAGTTATATGATGTGAGATATGTTCCTTCCTTGAGGAAGAACTTGATCTCAATTGGAGCTTTGGTTGGAGAAGGTCTGAAGGTTCATGTTGAGGACATGGTTCTTGAGATCGTGAAAGACTCTTTGATTGTGATGAAGGGCGTCAGGAGAAATAACCTGTACTATTTGATTGGAGATACAGTGACAGGTGGAAAGCTGACGACTTCTTTTGATTCGACTAGACTGCGGCATTTGAGGCTTTGTCATTCCAGTATTGATTTGGAGATGGGTACAACGACTTGCAGTTTGAAATCCAGTGAACATTTTGATGTGAGCAAGAAGACCAATGTGAAGTTTGGCATCTCTATTCACCGTACGGAGGGTCTTTCAGATGGGGTTCACATGGATGTTTGGGAGCCTTCCAAGGAGACATAATTGGGAGGAAATAGATGTTTGGTTTCCTTTATTGGTGGCTGTTCTAGGCGTGTTTGGGTTGCAACCAAATTCCCTTTGAATAAAGTCTTAGTAGTCTCCAACAGATTAAAGAAGTGTGAGATTGGCAGAAAGATGAAGGTACTTCATTCAGGTTTTGGTCGGAGGTATAAGATGGACCTGTTTCTATTTTGGAGCTGAGCTCATGATATTTTGAGACACTTCGTTAGAAAGGAAATCTTGGGGCAACTAGATAGGGTAGCAAATTTTGAGAACCGTGCCTTGCTGGAGGAGGATCAGTGTTTGTTGTCAAGCAATGGTCTCCTGAAGAGTTTCTGGACTGAGGCTTCGATATATTTGGGTCATCCTATTAAAGAGTTGTCAACTGCTGTGATTGGAGGTAAAAATCAATTGAATATTTGGTCTGGTAATATCACATTGGATGAGGCTTCGATGAGGGAGCCTATTGACTCTCAGCAGGTGAAGAATTTTGGACAGATCATAGAGGTATCACAGCAGGTGGAGAGTGATTCTACTTCACATTGGGTGGAGATTACTCCACATACTCCAGATTATTCTATATTGTTTGGGATTCCAGCTGAGGTGACACAGTTTGGGGATCAATTGGTTTTGGATACAGATGATGAGTTAGGTTTTGATTCGAGTGTAACTAATAGATGTAGTTTGGATATGACCATTGGTTTACCTCAGGTGGAGGTATTTGATTCGTTACACTTTGAGGCCATTAGAGGTGCTATCAGCCGTAGAGTTGATGATATTAGAGGAGGGTTGCGAACTCTTCTATTGGATTGAGGTCGTTTGTGGCCATTTGGATAAACTACGTGAGGCTTGATTCCTTGGGCAAGAGGATACGTAGGCAGTCATTTATGATGCAGCCAATTTGATACCGACGTTTGGAGAGTGTTCGCATTCTCATTTGGGTCTCGACTTGTTGTGAATGAGTCCGTTGTCATGAATCGTTTCACTTCGTATTGGACGCAACAAGTAAGCCATTTGTTTTGGTTGGTGTCAGCTCAGTTTTGGGTAAACTTCGCCGAGGTGGAGAATTGTGAGAAGATAGCGTGTGGGGGCCACAAGTGTGAACGCAATTTTGCTTTCCGCGTGGGAGGCTAAATGTGGGGGCCACCATGTTTCTCGCTGTGTTTTTTTGAAAGCCCACCCGATTGATTTGCAGTCAATTGTTAGACCCTAGAGAGTGGGTGATTAGGGTCTTATGCTAATCTAATCCGATTAAATGCCAATTAAAATTAATTAACAAGCTATCCTAGCAAGTATGAAATTCAACAAGAATATAAGCTAGGATAAGCAATATGAACAATGAGATATATCCTATATGATAGAAAAATATGCAAGGATATATAAACAATAAGATATATTCTAACAAAGAGATATAGACAATGTATGTGCAAGGATATATAAACAACACAAAATGATATATCCTATCAAAGAGATATACAATATGATATATGTATATGCAAGGATATAAAAACTAACACAAGGGGTAAACTATATGAACTAGATAGTGGATCATATAAATAATGAGCTAATGACAATGGCGACAAGAAATATAAACACAAGTATAAATAAACGCCAAAGCACACTCAAACATAAGATATGATCACGGAGTTCGGACCTTCCGTCCTACGTCTCCGCTCCCCACTCCCGGGGAGAAATCCACTATCACAACCGGGTTTTCTACGTTCACCCGAATAACGTTTACACCTCACAGTATCGGTTTTCAACGCTCACCGATCAACGTCACTCCTCACAATCGGTTTTCTAGTTCACCGAAAACTTCACAACACACTCGGTTTTCTAGCTCACCGAAAACCTTACAACACTCACAATGTAACAAATATAAATTTGTTCTCTACAATAGATGAGAACTCAATTAAGCACAACTCAATGTTACAATCTCTCACAACCCTAATATACTATGTATGCAAATACAATAAGCTCAAGTGGGTGTGTGTAACAATGAGATAATATAATCAAATCTAAACTCAATATAAAAACTAGCTTTAAAGAATGATAATCAAATAACTAAGCAAATGTAAAGCTAGATAGAGTTTAGAAAACTTCTCCAATAGATGACAAGATGGAGAGATGGAGATTGGAGCCCAAACAAGAAGATGATCTCCTCCACTTGTGAAAACAATCTTCAAACCAAACACATTCAAAATCTCAGCCAAAACCCCTAAGTAAAAGTCCAAAAAGTCCCAGAAAAAATCAGATCAGAAAATAGCCGTTAGGGAACCAACGGTCACATTGGCAGAGCGGCGGTCGACCGAAAATTCTCGTGGTCGACCGCGATCCAGGTTCCAAACGGAGAAAACGCACAGAGACTTATTCGGTCGACCGGTGCGGTCGGCCACTGAACAAATGAACATATGAGCGGTCGACCGGTGCGGTCGACCGAAATCTGATACACAGTAAAACATGTTTTTAAAAGCTGATTTTTGAGACTTTGGAAAATTGTTAAAAATAATAAATGAAGTCCAAAAATAATAAAACTTTGGAAAATATATATAAACATGTAAATGAACATGTTACAAAAATAATTTTCCAAATTGCATTTCCCATTTGAGAAAAATCATCATTTTGCAAAATAGTTCAAAACACGAAAAAGTAAACATGTGAATTTTGACATTTAGGCTAAACCATGTTTTGAAACTTTACACAATGATTATATAGACTTAATAAAATATGTATATGATTATTGTTAAGTCCAAAAACTAAGTATACAGAATTTTCACAAAATTGCATATTCTATGCAACGATTTCAAAAAAAAAAAAAGAACACAATAGTAAATATGAAATATATGATTTCATATTTATAAACATGAAAACTCAAAAACTATGTATGTATATATATAACTATATATATGCATAGAAACCAAAACTTATGTATATATATATAACTATATATATATACGAAGAAACCAATAACTGTGTGTGTGTATATGATATTGAGCTTAGAGTATCTAACATACATAATATAAAATCTAAACTAGATTACCCAAGCTGATCTTGATCTTCAATAAGCTTGACTTGGTACACTTTACGGATGAAGCTAAACTTGATCTTTAACTTGAATTGTATGTTGCTTCACTCCACAATTCCGCCAACCTCCATTTGATATCTTCGTTGAAGCGCTATTCCATCCATCCTCCAACTACGTTGTTTGTCTATAATAAATAAGAAAACACAAATACTAGACAAACAACATTAGTGGTAAATTGTTTGTTAAACATCATCAAAACAAGAAGGCCAACACCAATATATATAGCTGCCAATCATTTTCGGTTTCTAGGTTTTAGGAGGGCAAGACAAAGTTTTTTTTGGGGAGCAGCGGCTTCGTGCGCAAAAAGGAAGGGAAACGCAGAGACTTGGGCGGCGTGCAAGTATAGAGGAAAATTGCAGAGCTTCATGCAGAGGAGAAAAACCCTATTTGGAGGCTGTCCTTTTGAAAGAGAGATTGTGAGGAATTTGAGAGATTGTTTGAGGGTTTAATTTTGTGTGATTGTAAACCCTATTTGTATTCTCTATCCCTCTAATAGTAGATCTCCCTCCTCCTTGCCCCGTGGATGTAGTCAATTTGCCGAACCACGTTAAAATTGATTGTTCGTGCCGTGATTTGTAATAGAGAGTTTAGGTTCCCTCGACAGGTCAGTCCTAGAACTGATGAGAGGAAGAGCTGATATCCCATTTTGTTGAGATATTTTGTTTTTGGTTCTTGTTTCCTTTGTGAAACATGGATTTAGTTGAGATCCACTCTCTTGTCGTGCACAAGAGGTGCTGTCGAAATTTTCGCTGCGCACAACAAATGCATCTTCTAACTCCGTTCCTCACATTGGTTTGCTAGGAGGATGATTTTAAACTAATAAATATATCACTTATTAGCCAATCCAGAAGAAGTTTTGTTATGTATGCAGTAAATCACCAATCAGATCGCTCTGGCAAGCTTACCCAATAGAATTACCCAAGTGAAACAGGGGGAAATGGGCTTGCGCTATGTCTATACATCTTGAAATAAGATGAGGAATGATTCTAATGTCCATTCATCAGGACATTTTAGGTAAACCCTATTTGGAGATACGAATGGCAAATACAAAGAAATCCATTACTGTCAGGAGCCAGTTATCTGATAAGATTATACACAAAAGCAATGGCCAGCTCAAAGAAAATGTAAGTAGTCCTCATATAAAAAAAGTCCATGGATCACTGGCAACCTCAAGTCATTCGCTCGAGGCCATAATCTTTAAGAAGCTAATAGCAACTATAGTCAACAATGCCAGAAATGCAGAAGGCCACTATGCGCAGAAATCCAACGATGATAATAACAAATATTCTCGAGGGGGCATATGATTCATTACATCACTCGAAAATATGTTCCGAATAAGAGAACCCAAACAAATACTACCCTCTGACCACTGCTGAATGAAGTAATTCATAACAGATCTTTTACATTATTCCTTGTAGCATTAAAAGGAGACCAATAACTATTCACATTTGCATTACAAAAGAATCAAAACAAATAGAAAAAAATAAGAAGGCAATGAATAATGTATTTTGTACTCATGTCATTGTTTCAAACTTAAAAATTAGCCCATCCTAGTGGCGTGTCAGTCCCTGTTTTAGTCGCGTCTGAGCTCCCAAACAACTGAGAATTATTCCCTTGATTGGTTGTCTTTGACATGTTAGAGCTAGGTGAAGGAAATGAAAGATCACGATCCAGACCAAAGGCTCCAGAGATATTGGGAGTTGAAGCTGATTGCTTTATAATATTTTGCTGGGCTTTAGTTGACCATTGATTACTGTGTGATGAAGGCTGAGCTTCTGGTTCCTCAGTAAAAGCTTCCCATTGCTGAGGACATGGGCTCGGGGATGCATGAGCATTGGTGAACATAGCTTGCTCAAGCTCCCAAATGCCTCGATCCATTTTCTCCCGCTGCTGCGAAGAAAGAGAGCACCCATAAGTCAGCCAAAAGTTAGCTTCCAAAAAAAGAGCACCGAAGTATAATTCAGTCAGCTTAAAAGTCTTCCTTCAAGGGGACATGAGTAGTTTTTAACATTATCCCCAACCAATGTCAAAATATATAACATGGCTAAATAGATAGGTCATGAAGCTCTGATTGATGACTTATTAACTTCATATTGATGTCTCATTAACTTTAGACAAAATAGAGCTTCAACTGTCGTAGATTATTTGGCGGTAGGTATTACATGGACTCAAGACACAGGTGTCAAGTATCTCAGTTTCCTATTTCTCAACATGCGAGTTTTAGTTATCAGTACATTGCGATATGAATTATGATGTATACACACACACACACATACATATACATATAACATGTTTGCACACTATTTGTGTGTGCATTCATAATTTTGATTCCATACTTACAGAGAAAAGAATAGACTCTTTACTATTGCTTGCATACTGAAACTCAGAACATTGACATAGTTAAAAATGCATGAGACAAAATCTGATGCCTTATGGAGTAACATAATACTTAATTGTTTTTTTCCTTTTTGCTTTATATCTTTCCCTTCCAGATCCAATCTAGATATTCTTTCTGGACATTCTGTTTTTAAGTATAATAGTATTGTATTTTCCTTTCTCTACTCTATAGAAAAGTGCATGAGTCATAAAATATGAGTTTAAGAGTCATGACCGAGTGTCCAACTTGACAAAACCTGGCATAAAGGAAGTGCCAAGGTAAGATTGCTATTTGTGCACAGATAGTGTAGTTTGTAGTCAACTTCCGTATTTGGTGCAAAATGCAAGGGTTATTAAAGGCATCACCTAACTGATGAATCCGGTCAAGAAAAATCTCTACATTAGGCCAACTACACCTTCGTATCCTTTTGTGGCCTTTGTAATCAGCTACATCCAAGTGGCAGTAAGAATGACTTCGATCCTTGAATACAACCATCAAACTATTTTTTATTGGTTTATCTTTAATTCTTAAGGGAAACCTACATGTGCAAGGTGGGGGACAGAGGAATAAAAAAACGAAGAAACTATAGCTGGCAAATAAAGGGGGTAAGAAGAATAAAAACAAAAGTAAAGGTTTAGGATAGACCTCCTGTACTATCGCCCGATTGCCAACAGATCCCCTGAGTGAATTCTTTTTGACTATCTTACCCTCAGGAGGTCTATTTGTCAAAAAAAATTCTCTTTCTTTGAGGGTAAAGGAGTCAAAAAATTTCACTCAGGTCTATCTACAACAATAGAAAGACTACCAGGGTTCTATCTGTAATTGGGCCATAGTGGTGGGGATCTATCTACAATTACCCTTAAAAAGGATCTTCCTTTTCTAGTTATGAAACCAATATCCAAGATGCCAGAAGCCTTGACAATTGTTGACCCAATGTCCTCTGTAGTTTTCATTAAAAGAAAAAGAAAAGATAGGAAACCCTTCAAAAAGAACTTTGATATTCTTAAGGAATGCACCTGTTATGCAATATTATTGGTTCTGCTTTCAATTTCAATGGTTAGATTACCTGACTTTTGGTATTACCCTTACCAACATCACTGATTAGATCTTGAATGAATCTTGTTTTATTAATCCAGCAATATTAATCCTAAACAAATGAATAAAGCCACTTTCAAAAGTTGTAGTACAATCCCATTACTTTTCAATAACGGGCTTACGGTAATAACATAATTCAGGATCACAAGTTAAGGGAGAATGCTCAGGAATGGAACCAACATAAATCTACAAAATACAGGAAAAGTGAAAAGCCATTACCAGAGGCACAAGGTCCAAATTACTTGGAGAAATCTGGGTATTTGACCTGTTCTTGGTTGATTGAGGTGATGGGGTTCCTGCTGCAAGAGCCTGCTTCAACTCCTGGATCTCCTGTCTCTGGGAACGGCAAATAGCACAAACCTTTTCATACTTCAATGTAATCTCGACCTTCTCAAGATTAGCTTCCTTCAGTTGTTCCTTCAGGTTGTTTACTTCTGCATCCTGCCCCATTGCTGATGTGCTAGTGTTAGCATTCTTATTAACAATTACTTTGACGTGGTCAAAATCAGCCACGAAGGTATTACAGGACTCGTTCTGAGGGATTGCTTTGGTCATGACTCCACTGGGATTACTGTTAGGTATCTTATAAGAACCTATTTGGGTGTTTGCTTTGTTAGTGAGGATTGCAGCATCTTTATCCTTTGCATGATGACTAGTCCGAACTGCAAGCGTAGGATTCCCACCAATCCCTCCTGCCTTCCTGCCTTGGGATTGAGGGGCTGTGTTTTGCTTCGGTGGATTGGTTTTTTGATTCATCATAGTCTTCTTTGCAACTCCTGCAAGAAAACATCCTCAACAGATTACATCCATTTATATTGACAGACTGCAACAAATTCTTTAAAAAAGATTTAAAAAAAAGCAACAATTGGTGGTCAGATAAGAAGACAGAAGCTTAAGGCACAATCTTTTGTGCATTATACTCAGAGGTGTTGAAGACCTCGAAGCAACATACAGGAAGCTATAATCTTAAATAGTATGGAGCTGTATATTATTATAATCTACCTCATATCCATTTCAAAGGTATTCGGGACTGAATTGACCCTTCTACAGAAACAGAGACAGAAATTACATCAATCAGTATAGCATGTACATCATATTAAACTGGAAAATTGTCCTTTACCTCTGTTATGTTTTCTCCTGAAGTTGTTAAACTCATATAATTCATTACCATTTATAAGTATGAACCAATATGCTTATTCGTGTATGGCCCAATATGCTTATTCGTGATGCACAGGAGAAAAAACGATATGGTATCATGAAACTTCTCACAGACTTCAAGGAGACCAGATAAGCCTAAAAAGGATTATTTTTAACTAAAACAAATTTCTACATGCATGCCCATAAAAAAACACATTTTCAGAAATGTGAGCAGGATAGAATCTTGGGTCATACTATTTATGATATATATAAATTGAATTGTCAACAAAAACATGGGTCACCACAGTCTTACGCATCTAAACCATATGTGAAAAACATTTTGAACTCGATTATTATTTAGAAGCTTGATAAACCTACATGTAAAGAATAGATGCATGTATGCATGTATTCAACAGGTGAGCACCGATAGGTAAAGAGCTATGAACTTGATTACTATGGAAGTTTCCCACACATTCAATTTTTTAAACATTGGTAGACACAATTGTGAACTTGATGATTATTTTGGAAATTCACCACACCTTCAGCATGTAATTTTGCAGTATAAGGACGAAAATCTGTTGCAGGACCGTCAGGTAAGCGCTTCCGCAAGTCTGAAGGCAATTGCTCATTTACACGAAACCACACCTGTTGTAAGAAGAAAGATAACAAATAAGTGGAAATTAAACATATATCAAGGTCTAATGCGTCCAAATATGCAATAATCTATGACTAATACCTAGATTCATGGAGAAGAATGGCCAAGCCCTTGCCTGCATGATGTCTGGTCTGCCATCAGGAGAGTCGTGGAGCATATCCTTAATAAGCTGTTTTATGGATGGACTGTAGTTTGGTATTTCTGGGATATGGAAGTTTCCATTAAGGATCTGAAGCTTTGACTCCCCATCAAATGCCGATTTTAGATAACAAATTCGAAACAGAAGACACCCGAGGGCCTGCAAAGTAGTGAAAAGTTGTCTTGAGTTCTTTCTCAACTGCTACTAGAAAATATACATGTTTTACCATAAATACAAGGGAGTACAGATTATTATGTTGTATGTGTTCTAAGTAATATCTTCAAGTAAGAAATTAGTCATCGTTATTCCTTGCTCCACAATGACTGGCCAAGTTGAGGGTTATGAGTTATAATATTAATATCTAGAATTTAATGGTTAAATATTGTGTTTATTGAAGTGGCAATGTGTCTGCTAATTTATAGGGATAGTAGCATCCACAATTTTAATATACAAATAAAACTAGATTCTGATATTGGACAAGCTTATTAGATACATCTGCGTACAAATATTAACAAAGGAAAATTATATTAGCATGATTAAGATTAGCACAGACCACTACTTATACTCTATTATGAAAGTGAGTATTGTTGAATGGAGAGGTAAATATAGCAACCAAAACAATAGGATTCAGTCACTCACCCAGATGTCTACTTTCTCACTAATAACTTCTTTCCTGTAGAGGTCCCACATCTGTCATCAAAACAAACATAACACTAATTAGGTCCTCTTTAACCACTAAACACTAAAAATAGGTGCAGAAAAACGCAAATCACTAAATAGTTCTTTTGTTAAACCTCCGGAGCTCGATATGCTGGGGTAGTATGCTTCCTGATGTTGTCTTCCTCAACACCCCTTTCCTCAGGCCTGTCAAAGCATCTATGATTGGTTGAAGTGCTACCAAAATCACACACTTTCCAAGCTCCATCAGAACCGAGCAAGACATTTTCAGCCTTCAGATCTCTGTAAAGAGTGTTGATCAATAAGAGCTTTGGAAAGGAGACAAAAACTAATAGAATCATTTTTTTTCCAGTAAACACAAAGAAGGCACTATACTTCCAATCGTCTCAATTTATATCTTCATTACTGAAAACAATGATCCGGAACCTAGAGCTTGTTTTATGTCTGCCACTAACTTTTCAGAATGA